ACATGAATTCACATGATGTCCTGTGCACCCCACCCCACCCCACCCCACCCCACCCCACCCCGCCCCGCCCCACCCCACCCCACCCCACCCCACCCCACCCCACCCCACCCCACCCCGCAGCCCAACCCCCCCACCCACCCCCCCACCCCCCACCCCACGCCACCACACCACGCCACCACACCACCCCAGACACAAACACAGCAAGCACGTGTGTTCACGCTGGCGAGCTTGGCTTCGTGTGATGTGTTGTCGGGTCGAGCACTGGCTTTTAAACGTTTTGCTGCCTGCCTGTAGCCTTCAGACTTAGTCTTCGGCTGTGAGCATGGCCCTGCAGAAGAAGCCTGCAGCTTCAAAGGACTCAGCACACACTCCACATATGTTGGGATGGGTGGGTTGGGTTTCGGAACCAGGAGTAACAGGTCTGTTTCGTGTGGCGGGATTCAAGCCCTGCGACCAAAGTTGAAAGTGTTCCCAGCAGCAAGGGTCTCAGGGGTTTAGGGTTTAGGGTTCAGGGTTTAGGGTTTAGGGGTTTAGGGTTTAGGGTTTAGACGCCGCTTAAAGCTCTTCTCCCTGCAGTAGCTACCAGGACCTTTGAAAGCCTCATATGCCCAGAAACCTATTCCCAATCTCAAACTTCAATCCCTAAACTAAACCGAAATCAAAAGCCTTAACATCGTATAGAATATCATACAACTTGTAGACCTCTCTTAAAGAGCCCTAGGTAGAAAGGTTCCAACGGAGCTCTTATAGAACCCTTCGCGAATCGAAGGCAAACTCGTTTAGGGTGGCTTAGAAGCAGGATTTTGGGTGCATTGTCGGGTCAGGGGCTTCGTTTTTTCTTTCCTTTCCGAGCGATTGTTGCCCAGAACTATTTTGTGCAAGCAGGAAGTCTCAAAGAAGCCAGCTGCTCAGAAGCTGGCGAACAAAGCCCAGAAGCAAGAGAAGGAAAAGGAGAAGAAGGAAAAGAAGCTTCAGGCCGCTGCCGAGACAGAGCAGAAGGCTACGGACAAGAGTACGAAGAAGGACCCTAAAGAGAAAGAGCCGAAGGTTGCAGACAAGAGTACGAAGAAGAAGGCCGTGGCCGAGAAAGACCAGGACGAGCAGTACGACGAAGAGGGTGGAGAGGAAGAGACGAAAGAGACTGACCCCGAGGTCACCGTCAAGCCTTTGCCCGTGACGTTAGAGAATGTCCAGACTCATCGGGACTTGCTTGCTGCAAAAGGTTTCAGTGGCGAGCAGTTGGCAGCAGCTTTCAAGCTTCTGCCTGCTAGTGAGCAGCAGCTGGTCTGGAAGAAGTTCGAAACCTCACGCAAATCCACCAACAACGAGGCGGATTACAAGAAGGAAACAGTTGGAGCTGGGGCTCAGGTCAGGAAGCACGCCCTGCTGCGAGGCTGGCTCGCAGACGGGGGGGCATGTGCCAAGCACTACCGCTCCGCCACTCTCTCGCTGAAGGCCGTGCATGAGTCGAAGGTTCGTTTGCAGTGGTCTACGTGGAGGCAGATCAAAAACAAATTCGGGAAAAAGGAGGCTTTGGATCGAGTCCAATCGGGAACAATCCGTTTCAGAAAGTCGCCGAGCGACAAACGATTCCTCGAATTTGCTGATGTGTCTGAAATCTACGACCACGTCATCAGCAAGACCCAGGAGTCCAAGATCGACACGAAAGGAGGTCGGGTCAAGACCAAGGACCTCAGGGCCCTGGACGGCCTTGACGTAGAGGGTCTGCAGCTCTCAGACTTCGACCTCTCAGGAGTTGACGTGGAGAAGATGGACCTGGACCCCGACCTCAAGAGCCTGATCATGGACAAGCAGCAGGCTGGCGACAGCAGTTCTGAGCATGAGTCTGAGGAAGATTCCAACGCTACCACCTTGTCTTTGCCACCCAAGGACAAGAAGGCGAAGAGGAAGAGGAGCCTAAGCAAGGGCGGCAAGGCTTCGTCCTCTAAGACTTCCAGGGAGGACAAGTGGGAGAAGGCTTCGGAGATTGGCAGCAAGGATGGCAAGACGGAGTTCGAGAAGAAGCTTCTTTTCATGAAGGGGGAGATCCAAAAAGATCTCACTTTCTTTGAGTCTGTGATGATCGACTTGAAGGGCAAGCCCATGAAGAAGGACGACAAGAAGTCGCTGGAGGACACGGTTGCAGATCTGCAGAAATCCTTGGGCCTCCTCACAGCTACGTCGAAAGGCGGGTGCAAGAAGGAGGATGTCAAAAAGGCCTTGCTGGCCTCTTTGTCAGCTCTCCGGAAGAGCAAGAAGGCCAAGCGAATGCAGATCAGCAAGAAGCAGAAGAGCAAGGACGAGTCAGACTGAGGAGCCAGGTCGCCGTTTTTTCTTGTGGTCATGTGCAACGGCCCCTCATAGGCCATTTTGGCACTTCGAACCACGATCCTTTTGCAAACTAGAAGATCTAGCTACAAAGCCGAAAGGCTCTGTGTGCCACGCGGTCATAGAGACAGACCAATGTGGTGCAGCAGTTCTTTGATCTTCAAACCGCACCGAGCCCGCATGCAGCTTCCAGCAACAACGTCGGTGACTGCTGGGCAGCCATTTTGAGCCTAAATTTCCACCCTTAACCCTAAACTTCTAATTTGATTTCTATACTAAATCTCCCGAGCCTGTACGCAAGCAAACTCTAAACCCTAAGACCCTCAGCCTCTGAAGCCTTACACCCCCTATAAGCTTGTCAAAATCGTGGTTGGTCCCTTCTAAACCCAATGTATTAAAGTCATTTCCTCAAGTCCTGGGAGTTTGGAGTCGAGGGTTGAGGCTAGTGTCTGTTCATAAGCATCGTGTAAACTGTAAACTTTGTAGGTTCAGGGCTTTGCTTTGGGGGTTTAGGGCCTTGGTCACTGCACCCTTGAGCCTTAAACCAAGTGCCCCCGCTTTCAGGCTTACGGCCTGTTGAGTTAAAGCCTCGTAGTTTGTGTCATGTTCTGGATAACACTTTAGCTTTTAAGGTCTCGGGTGTCCGATTTTAGGATTTTAGGGTTTAGGGTCGTAGAGCGCCCAGAATCGTGACCCTTTGACCTCACCCAGGCCACAAGACTGAGTAGGGGTTGAGGCTTCTTGTGTTGAAAGCCCTGTCGCCCAAACCTTGCAGCTAACCCGCCCGATGACGACTAGTGTTGCACTCAGATCACATTACTCAACCCACTCACTCATTCCGTCAATCAATCCATCCATCACGTACTCATCTGATGATGACCTGATGTTGATCTCATAATGATTTGTCGACCCAGGAGCCTGGCAACCCTTCTGGGGTGTTTGACGGCATGTCAGTTTGGGGTTTAGACTTCAGGTGTCAGTGTTTCGGGTGTAGGTCCAGGTTCAATTAGGGCCGAGCTCCAAATCACAGGAGGCTTTTGGGTTTCGGGACTTCGTGGGTCTAGGACTTAGTTAATTTGGTTGGGGGTGTAGGGTTGAGGGTTCTATACGGCTTCCTTTAAGGGCTCCTTTCAAGGATCTTCACACGCAACACCAAATCCCAAACCCTAAACCCCAACCCTAGACCCTAACCCCAAACCCTAAACCTTGAGACTCCAGTGTTAACTTGAAATCCCAAAGGCCTGTATCCCGACAGCCCCAAAGCTGTTGAATTCGACAGGGATCTGTAAGGGTACTATAAGGGTACGATAAGATTAGGAGTTTAGGGTTTTAGGGGTTGAGAGTTTAGGGTTTAGGGGTTTAGGAGTTTAGGGTTTAAGAGTTTAGGGTTTAGGGCTTTCAAGTTTAACTAGGGTTTAGGGGTTTAGGGTTTAGGGCTTTAGGGGTTTAGGGTTTAGGGTTTAGGAGTTTAGGGTGTAGGGTTTAGGGTTTTAGGGGTTGGGAGATTAGGGTTTAGGGGTTTAGGAGTTTCGGGTTAAGACTTTAGGGTCTTATGGTTTAGGGTTTAGGGGTGTAGGGGTTTAGGGTTTAGGGGTTTAGGGTCTCAGGTTTCGAAACCGTGCAAAGTATTTGCAGCTGTTGGCTGTTGTATGCTGTGGTCTTCCAGTCTAATTAGTCCAGGCAGTCACGAGCATGTGTGTGCAGTGGAGTCACAAGTAGCACTATCTACATTGTTTTCGCAGTACATATCACGCAGTCGTTGAACTTCTTCATGGCATAGCCTGTGTGTGTGTGTGTGGGTGGGGCTGTGTGTGTGTGTGTGCCGCCATGCATGAGTAAAAAAAGAAAGGCTGCTTTGGACGAGGATGCTCATCTCAAAGGGAAGGGCAAAGCCAGAGCAGAGCCCGGTGTGGAGGAACAACACAGCCCGTTGTTTCTGACTTTGGTGAAGAAGTTTGCTGTCGGCAAGATTTCAGCCCCGGAAGTACAGGAAATTGCCGATGCCGCTGTGAAATCAGGGTCCTCACGAAGCTGCAGCTGCTGGGGTCCCACGGGAGTTCGAACAAAAATATTCACAGGGACCTGATGAGGAGTTTGACCCGTGATGGTACGAAAGCGCCAACACTCCGCGAAGTTTGCACGCCTTGTGTGGTGACAGATTCATCTGGAGAGAAAGTCGTGGAAGAGAAGAACATTCCCATCATGCTGCCGCATGAATGGGTCGAGTCTTTGGATGAGAACCTTTGCTTACGATTATGCCCTTTAGAAATCCGGTTGCAACATGTAGTGAATAAAGTGGTCTATTGTCGCACCAGCTCAGAAATTTGACCGTTCAAGTATATGTGTGTGGGTTGTGGGAGGGTGTCGTTTTTTTTCCTATTCGTGTTGCTTACTTGCTAGCTGACCTAAGGTCTGGCCTGCTAGAAAGTTTGACGGCTTCTCCTGGGGACTTGAGAAAATTCTGGTCACAACAACGGTGGGACAGCAAACAGTTCCGACGAAAGGCAACGTTTTTCGATTCGCTGGATTGGGAGCATGATTTGCCTATTCCCTGGGTTCTCCACGGGGATGCCGCCCCGTATAGTGAGGTAGACTCGCTACAGGTCCTCAGTTTTCGCTGTATGATTACATCCAAGAAGGTTGCTTGCTCTGAGTTTCTGCTCGCTGTGATGCCAAAGCAGGGTGCCGACCAGAATACCTGGGCCAAGCTGTGGGATGAAATCGCTGATTCTTTTGTCAAGTTGGCTATAGGCAAATCTGGCAAAGCATCCTTGCGAAAGGGAATCATCATGAGCATCACCGGCGACCTTGAATGGTTCAGTGCTGAATTCGGTTGGCCAACGGCTTCATCCAACTATCCTTGTCCGTTTTGTGGGGCTGACAATCTGTTTGATGAGGCGAAATCTGTGGCACCCTTTACAGATATGAGAGCAACAGCCGCATGGAGAGGCATGCTTCGTGATCCTGATGAAACACAGATGAAAAAGCACGCTTTGTGGCGAGTGCCAGGGGTCTCCTTCTGGACTGTGAAGCTAGACCTGCTTCACATGGCAGATTTGGGAGCCTCTGGTCTTTGTTGAGTTTCGTCTTTATACAACTGTTTGTAAAGGGTATCAGAAAAAAGAGAGGTTTTGGGCAGTTTAGGAAAGTTTAAGAGTTTAGGGCTTGGGATTTTGGCTTTAGAGCTACTGCTGCTGCTGCTGCTGCTGCTGCTGCTCCTACTACGACTACTACTACTACTACTACTACCACTACTACTACTACTTATGACCACATCCCGTGTCTTGCTTTCTATTTGAACCTGAGGTAAGTAGCCACATTTACGGCAACCTTCTCAACGATATTATTGTGGAAGAACTCCCCGGGTCATGGGAATCCTCGCTCGTGGCGATGAACAGGCTGATAGCGAATATCTCTCAAGACTTAGATGTTCCATCGGGCCAAAGACTTCCCAAGCTCAACAAGACTGACATTGTCACGCCGAAAGGTTATCCCGTGCTGAAACACATCAAGGGTACGCCATTTCGCTGGGGTAGCCGTCGCAATCGCCAAACTTTACAGCAAAAACAGAAAGGGCCAGCACAGGCTTGCACTATGCCAAGCCGCCGAGACGTTTTACAACATTTGCGATCGCTCAGAATGGGTGTATGACGACCGAACACACAGACAGTTGGAGAGATGCATCGCAGCTTTGCTTTCGCACTACGGTTGGCTGGCCAAAAACGCCATGAAGCATGGAGTCATGCAATATTCGATCGTGCAAAAGCATCATATGATGGCCCACTACAGTGACCAGTGCTGGTCCATGTCTCCACGCTGTTGTTGGGCTTACGGCCCGGAATCGTTTATGGCTATAGTCAAGAAGATCGCCATGGCATGCTGTCGAGGTACTCCCGCACATTTGCAACCGCAGAAAATTTTGCAGAAATTTTCTTTGTCATTTGACCTGCTCTTAAAGGGCTGGCTGCAATTGGATGCCGAGAAGGATGAAGAGACCGAGTGAGACAAAAGTGCAAGGCCTGCAATTACTAAGCCTTTGACCTTAAGCCCTAGCTTAGGAATAACTTAAACCTTAAGAGGTATGTCTGCATATGTATGGGTCCCTGCATGTTATATACACACATAGATACGTATGTGTGTATGCACACATGCATGGTTGTGTGCATGTAAGTAGGTATGTGTGTATGTGTGTAGGCATATATGTAAAGATGTGCATGCATGTAGTTATGTATGTATACACCTATGTCAACCTATGTTGTATGCACCAGTGCAGGTATGCAGCTATGTGTCTATGTACCTATGTGTCTAGTACCTTTGTACCGCTGTATATTCATATCGTGGCACATTCTATTTTTTGTATTATATGCCTATGCCCCCCATGACCCTGTAGTTGCAGCGAGGGCGATATACAAACAATCTAGTCTTACTGAAACTTGATGTTTAAAGTCATGAGCATCCTATTTTGTGACTGGCTCCCGCTTGATTCCTCGATTGATTTTATGGATGGCTCCCGCTTGATTCCTCGATTGATTTTACGATTGGTTCTTCGCTTGATTCTTCGATTGATTTCAATATGCACTCGCCAAGGCCTCCCCGCTTGATTCCTCGATTGATTCTATGAACTTTTCAATCGACGCTTGAAAAAATCAACTGCGATTGAAAAAAATCAATCTTGGAGGGTTTGGGTTTTCCCCGTGCCCGCATTTGTTTGTTTCATCTCCAGAAAATCGACCATGCGTTCAACACCACCGGCAACAATGCTTGCCCACCACCTTTCTTGTGGATCATCATGAAACGCCAAGTAGGCCTGCTGCATCTGTTCGTTGCCCTCTGGCGAAAAGGGGTGCCAATGGCCGTCCATCTCGTATTGCCAAGAAGGTCCATGACTCGCAGAATGCTTGTTCATCTGAATATCAATAAGCTTTTTCTCAGCAACTTGTTTCTGCTCTCGTTCTTTTCCGAGTGATGAAACTGTGGCTTGCAGTCTGGTTGCCTTAGCTGCACTCAAGATAGCAATCACAGCATAGGCGGAGGCTGGTGGGCACATTTCCCTACATTGCATGCTGTGCACCTGTCCAAATGGCTCGGCTACAAGCTCTCTTACTGTGTGACGACGATCGTTTGGGAAGGTGAGCTCGGACAGCGGCTCATAATTGCACACGGATTCTGCTTAAGCAACCCCCTACTTCAGACTCGAACGTGATCCGTTCTGGAAAAAGTGCGGTAGGGACTTTGCATCAAGGCGCTAACTCTTCCGATCGCCTTTTGGCTTCCTCATTGTCTGCTTCGGTCCTTTTCCGCCAGCTTTCTTCCATGCCCAGCTTCTCAACAAGCCTCATACCTTCCATGACCAGACTCCTCCGATCTTGCAGTTCTTCTTGCAAGGCAAGCTCGGTGTCTGCAAGCTTCTTTCTGGCAGCGCCGAGCCCAGCGCGCAGAAGGACAATCTCGTCCTTATGCAGCGAGCTGCTTCCCAGTAAAACTTTATTGAGAAACACATGCCTATATATCCCGCGTCCATTGCTAACCTAAGTCTTGACGGCTGATTACCGCAACATAGAAATTGGCTTGCTATGCAAAATCCAAACGACCTTTCTCTCGTTCAGCAGGCTTTCCAGACTCTTCCGATGTGCCACTTCTTCTTCCAGGGCAAGCTCGGCATGTTTCAACCGGCTCTCCAAACCCATGCGTTCTTCCAATTCAAATGCCAGGGCAGTCTTGGCTTTGGCAAGCTCCTCTTTCACAACATCCAGCTCAATGCGGACAAGGACAATCTCATCCTTACTTAGGGAACTTTTGCCTGCAAGAACACATGCAACTGCGTAGTATGCTATGCCGCAAAAGCCTCTCACCGCAACCCCACTGCGCAGCTCCTCAGAACTGGTCATCCCCGGCAAGGCAACTTCCTTCCTTTAGCCCTCACCACAGCCGCCTGCAGAAGCCACACCAGTAACTACTACAGTTGAGGATTGAGTTTACGGTAGAAGCACCAGAAACTCACTGCCGTATCATAAAGCTTAAACCCTGTTGCAGTTCAGCCTGATACGACTCCAGGTCACATATCTGCATTAAGTGTAGCATGAGAGAAACAAAGCATTGCTAAACTGGATCGAGAAGACGTTCCTCTCGCCGGAATGGCTTCCCAGAGTTGTCTGAAAAGGGCACCGGACAGCTTCGCTGGCGCATTTCCGAGCTATGCTGAGCTCGAAGCGAGCGAGGCGAATTTCCTCCTTACGCTCGAGCTTTCTGTCCGGAAGAAATGTAATTACATCGCACCTCCGTTTGAAAACCTAGTTAGCTGTTGTAGAAACGAAAATTTTACTATACCTGCTCAAAGGACGTCTCTCTCGGCTAATTGGCTTTCCAGGGTTTTCCGATCATCCCATTCTTGCTGGAGGGCTAGAAGGGCATCGGAAAGCTTTGTCTGTGCAACACCGAGCTCGTCTCGGACCAAACTAACTTCATCCTTCCAGAGCGATCTGCTGTCCGGTAGAAAACAATTACGTCATTGAGCTGCGTTATCCGTTGCTGCAGAAACGACAAATTTACTCTGCCTGTTCAAAGGTCACCCCTTATGCGCAACTGCTTCTCCACGATCTTCTGATCTTCCCGTTCACGCTGCCGGGCTAGAGCGGCTAGACGAGCTTTAAGCCCCACGAGCTGGAGTTGCTCGGCAAAGCATATTGGCTTTGTACGGATAGATGAACTGTCAGAGCTGGAAGAAGAACTAGGAGAGCGCTTGCGCCTGCGCTTTGCGTTTGGGCATGACGTCGATCCTTTCGGCTTTGGGCGACCATCGGATTCAGCCTTTGAGATCGGCATATGCTGGAGTAGCACGAAGTTCTGGCACTATCTTATGTTACCCACATCTGCTTTACATCACATCTGGCATCTCCGGCACTAGATGAATAAGATGTCGAAGAACCGAAAATGCTTGGACCGTGTCCTGCGAGTTTCCACGACATCACAGCTTCTAAACCGCAAGGCGATCAGCAAGTCACAGTGTGGTGCAAACACATGTACCAACATGTCTTCGAATCCGAACCCCAAATTCCTCGAGCTTCTTGAGGCCAGTGCTGCTTTAGTGTTTTCCCGCCACAGGCGTTTCAACAGCCAAAGACCGGAGAGAGCCTGAGCACTCCTCTGCAGCCGAATCGGAATCAGGCAGCTGTGCCCTGACAGCTCAACACCGTTGATTCGAGTGGGGTTCGGAGGTACCGATTTACGGTTTAGGGGTTTAGGGTTTAGGGTTTCGTTGAACCTACAAGACAAAGGGAATTTCAAGGAAAGTTTCGGGACGTACGATTTATCTCCGGCCTTTGGAACAATCAACAAAGGGCTTTGTTAGGTGGAAGTCAGCTTCAGCCAACAGTCAACAGTACACGTCACGTCGTGAACCTGCAAAGAAACTCTGACAGTGGGAAGCCTCTCGTCGTTTCGTAACGATTTACAAAGGATTATTCAGATTCGTGATCGTCTTGAAAATCACTCTAAACCCTCAACTGTCCCTAAAGCCCCAAAGCTTCAGCTCGTTGAAAATCCGAGCGAGAACAGTTTAGGATTCAGGCTTCAAGGCTTATTTATAGGGCTGGATTGGAGAGCCCCAAAACCTTTCTCATCTGAAATGATGTTGCCTCATCTCTGGTGCCAACTTTATTTCTCAATGTTGCATCGCCGAACCCGAGCAAAAAAAGCAAGACCCCATTGCAGCTCAAGAAGGCCATAGAGCTCTAAACACGAATACTGAACACCCTCAGACCCTGGCCAAGCGAAGCCATCCAAAACGTCTGCAAGTTATTATGGTCTGGCTTTGCAGACGATGCAGTTGGCAAGATGGTGGCGCTCAAGTAAGAATAAGCCTTAAGACGGAAGCTGCGGCGTCATAATGTCTCACATGTCAGGCCTTCTGGAGTCTAGGGCTCTAAACTTGTCCGGAGCCTTTGTCTCACTACGACAGCCTGAAGGGCTTGGGTCAGGGTCCGGCCTTGCATGGGGTGTCAGGGTGTAGCCTACTGCGCGCACCTGCTTCTACCCGCGGTGCTTGACCACACACATCCGGACCATGGTCACGCTTCGTCGGCCTGCTTTGAAAGTCTTTCATCAGAGTTGGTTGAAGGCTGTCATGAATTACAAGGGCTCCTAAGTATCAGTTGTGAGGTCCGACATCTTCATTGAGAGATCGCGGGCTGTTGGGATGTAGAGACTGAACACTGCTGTACAATCAAAGCGTTTTGAGGCCTGAAAGCTGGAGCGCTTAAGGTTGCAGGTTTCGCTGACTCACCTGACACCCCGGAAACCAATCATGAAGCTTTCGAATACCCATAGGCTCCATAGTAGTTCCTCTTTGTGGTTTATATTTAGGATCCTATAAGGTAGTCGCAGAAAGGAACGACTATGGGGCCTGGGTATATCTCATGGACTCCTGGTGAAGCCACGCTGGGCCGGCCGGCCATCCGTGGGAGTCGCGCGCTGAGGGCGACAGAGTCGCTCCAGGGCTCGGCGGTGGATGCTTGGATGGGGCATGATAGGAGGGGAGGGTTTAGGGTTTAGGGTTAGGGTTTAGGGTTTAGGGGTTCTTCTAACAAGGCTGTTTGCGGGGGTGCTGAAAGTAATCCTGTGTGCTTAAGCTTACTACTGTCACGGTGTATGTTCAAGTGTATCTAACATAGTAGGGTCTGCAGGATGACGCGAGCGAGGCAACATTCCGGTGGGAAAGACGTGCCGGCCAGCTTCCTAAACAAAAACTTTTCAAAGGCTCTGATGCGGAACCCACCCGTTTGCAGACCAAGAGTGCCGCACGACTATGAACACCATGTATATCGCTTTTTTGCGAAGCTTGCCTGTACAGAAAGAAGCTTATATGCATGTTCCGTGCCCATGCGCCAAGTGCACTGTGCAGCGGAGCGGACACGCCAAAGGCCTGGAGTTTGTTCAGTTTTGTCAAACTCCTGAGGCGGCTGTCTGTGACAACTTCTACACTTACGAAATGAGCCTATTTTCTCGCTATCCGGTTCATTTTTGGCTCGGCTAACCATCATCTTTCAACATGTGGTGGGCCGTCACGAGAACGAATATGCAGAATCGGAACTTCATGGGGTGTTTGCAATGCTGGGACCTTCCCCATAGGAAAAGCATGAATGTATGCACGACTCAGCCACAGCTTCCCCCAATTCTGGGGTGCAACTGGCTCCTTCTGTACATCGTGATTGGCAGACCGAGTGGTGCTCCTCATCTCAGGCCGTTTTAGGATTTAGGGTTTAGGATGCTGCTCTCGTAAAACCGGTAAGCCATTGCCAATCCTGCTACTCTTGCTCCTACTTTGACTCTTCGGCTTTCTCTGACTAGACTACGCCTGCTCCAGGAGAACTGCGATTGCCACCTCCTGGATCTCTGGGCCTGTTGGTTGGAAGAGCACGGCTGCTGCAACTACCCGAGCTCAGGCTCAGTTCGTAGCGGACGTGAGGATCATCTCCTTCAAGGCCAACTTCGCATGCTTCTGCTTCCTGGGCTCGGAGGTGACACAAAAGCTGGGTGTGGGCTTTAGGGCGTTTTGGCTGTGGGGCTTAAAGTTCGGCCTCTGGAGAACAGAACATAAATCGCTGGATCCAAGCATAGTGCAAGCCGAGACAAACAAACCGCACACCCGCAATATCCAAAATCACATCCCTCTGCAGCAGCCATGAACAGACTTTGCTGCTGAACACGCCCAAAGCCCCCCAGCCCCTTTTTATATATTCGACACCCCACCCCCGAGCCCTGAGTCGACCTTATAGTGAGCATTTCCAGGCCTAGACCTACTCGGGAAGCCCAGACCCCCAACAAAATTTGGCCGTTTCTCCTTTGGATACCCAAACCACGACATAACTGACATAACCCCCACCCCCACCCTTCACAACAGTATAAGTACATCCTAGACCCCATGAGCAAAAAACAACATATGGCGAGCGAAACACGGAAAACCTGCGTCTTGAAATCGGCCGGGACTCTTGGACTGCAGAAATTTCCGGGAGAAATCGCTCAAAGAGCTGGCTTCCAAGCTCTGGGCCTTGTCTCACACAGGCTTTTTCAACGGGAGTTTCATGGGTTCAATGTACTGGGTTTAATGATTTCAATAGGGCTACATAAATGTTACGCCGACTTTTAGGAAGGCTTCGTAACGGTGTTACGACGGTTTCATAGATGTGCGCAAGGTTGTGTAAGGGTTTCATAGCCTCCTCTTTGAAACTTCTACAGCTTGCCGCACAGGGGTGTTCACAGGCTTTGAGCAGTTTTTTTGTGAAAGCTTTCCTTCAGTCTGTGGGTTTGACAGGGTTTCATTGGGGCACTTTTAAGCGAACAGACTGAGGACGTAGGGTTCCAACTTTACTCAGGTTCACGGTTTAGAAGTGAAGGATGTAGGGTGTGCAGAAAGTTCTGGTAGGGTCCCATAGGCCCCTAAGTAGTTCCTTTTTGGGATTACCTTATAGGATTCTAAATATAAACCATAAAATAAAGGGAACTACTTAGGGGCCTATGGGTAGACGCTGTGAAGGAAGCCGAGGTTTTGCGACTAAAGGAGCCATTAGCGCAAGCTTTTACACACTGCAACGATGGAGAAACTCCTCCCCGCTGCATGGTGCATCTTCAGCGGTTTTGGGGAGTGGTGACACAGCGACCTGCCGGATCGAGCGAAGTTACACTCTGTCACCTCGCGGATACGATGCTAATTCACTCAAAGATCACCCCAAAACACTCCTGTAAACCCCCCAAAATAGTATAGGGACTTTTTTAAGGCCCCTACGTTATGCCGATTATGCCTGAACCCTCGAACCCCTAGCCTGCAGGTTGCCGCAGTCAGAACACCGAAACACCGACCGGAGAAGATAACCAGCCCAAGCCCTTCGGATTTCTCTGGCAGGGACTCGGAAAGCCGAGAAATTCACGACTTCTGCGACTTATCTGTGACAACACTAAACCCTTAACCCTAAAACCCCCCCGCACACCCTAGACCCTCCATAAACCCTGAAGAACCCTAAACCGCCCAAGCCCTAAAATCTCCATAAACCCTGAAGAACCCTAAACCGCCCAAACCCTAAACCCTCCATAAACCCTGAAGTAGCTGGGGGTCTTGTTCAAGCACGTCCGTGAGGATCGCCTCGGCCTTCGGCACAGCCAGGCTTTAGGATTTAGGGGTCTAGGGTTTAGGGGTTTAGGGTTTAGGGTTTAGGGTTTTAGGGTTTAGGGTTTAGGGTGTAGGGTTTGGAGTTCGAGTCCTTTAGGCCCTGAGCTCCTCAGCCTCAATGAAAGCAAGCTACTGATAATTCAAGGATTTTTTGATGTGTACTGCTGCCCCTTTTCCAAGGTGCACCTGCCCGGTTTAGGGTTTAGGGTTTAGGGAAATTACAATAATAGTAATAATATTCCTTATCGTTACTCTTGCTGCCTTTATCATAACAGAGTATTACTGATTTTAGTACCGGTCGTTAAACTTCTACCAGGAGTATGATGACTATCCATGATGATGAGACGGGCTTTTCCATTAAATGGCATAGTATACCCTGGTACCCTATTTAAATAACTGAAGCTTGCAGCAGCCACTTCAATTCAACAGACCTGGGCATGGATATATGGAAGCACAGGAAAGGTCGAAAACTCCTACTGGTCCTACTGATGAGTTCAGTTACGACTTCGGGAAACCGCTTGTGAAAGGTTCTGCCTCTGGCTTTGAGGGACGATTCTTGCTGCTTGCCTTTAACGTCCCGCTGAACCCTTGTCGTAAAACCAGAAACCACAAGTGGCAGCTACTGTAAGCTCTACAAAAACCTTCAGCGCCAAGCCATGATCCCGAAGCTTACGTAATGAAACAGTTATTTGCAAGCGAGATACCTTACAAAGCCTGTCCCCCGGTACCTACACCTTACCCGTGGATCCCCAAACCTCTCGAATACGAGCCTGGGCCGTGGTTTTGTGAGTTTTGGAGCTAGGACTTACTTAGGTTTGGTTTTCAGGCTCTAGTTTGGGTTTGGTACCCATAGGCTCCATAGTAGTTCCTTTTCGGGATTACCTTATAGGATCCTAAATATAAACCACAAAAGGGAACTACTATGGAGCCTATGGGTAATGGCTTATACGCATGGAACCCCATGGGTTGCGGCTTCGGCTTGGCGAGGGCGGTCTCCACAAGATTTCAGCCGCAGCAACAATTGCCCACAGGGCACGATAAATGCCTACATAATGGAACTTAGGGCCGTAGGGATTTGGATGTTGCGACTCATTGTTCTGATTCATGACGTCCAAAGCTCGTGTCCCAGACTTCAAAAGCCAGTGGCGAACCCGATGGTCCAAACTCTAGGGTTTTCCCATCAGCCCTGAACGTTAGGATTTGCCCTAAAGTGTATAAGCACGCACACTTTCTGCAGCCTGTCGATCATGGCTGGTCATCACAAGCCCGAAACCCTGAACCTCAAGGAGCCCAAAACAGCTAGATGACTAAACCTCAAACCAATTGCCATAATAAAGCCTAAAGCTCCAACCGTCAACCCTCACCCTACTGCGCCTCTCATCCCCAAGCCCCATAAACCCTAAACCCTGAACTCTAAACCCTACACCCACCGAACATGGCCTCGTGATCGTCTGCAGCAGCCTCGGTCTGCAGGCGGCTGGCGAGGACATCCGGAGACTGCTGCGCCTGCAATGGAGGAAAACCCTTCGGGGTTGGAGTTTCCATGCCGCGTTTAGCTCAAGGGGTTCGAAGGGTACTTCATGGGTACTTCGTTTGAGGGTTGAAGCTTAGGGTCGTGGAGGGTAAGTTCTGGGGTTTTTCGGATGCTTGAGGGGTCTACGGGGTGGGCTTCCGGATGCTCACTTCCAAGCTTTCGCAGGATGCCTCAGGCCTAAAACGACCAAAACCCTGCAACCGGGAGTCCAGAATTTTCGAGGACCCTATATCAGGGTCTATGAATGGGTTTCGTGCCTTTCGTCTTGCATGATTCATGTGTAGGATCTCTTGCAAATTCTGGCGGGTTTAGGTCCGTTTGGAAGTTTTGGGTTTAGGGGTTTAGGGTTTATAGGGTTTAGGGTTTAGGGTTTAGGGTTGCAAGACTCTTTGTCATCATGGTTACATGTTGGCACCCCAATGGACGCCCTTTGATGCCACGCTCCTGGCAGCAAATTCCTCAAATTTGCTGTGTTGAAACGTGCAAATGCAGTTCCAGAATGCGTACCCGATAAGACATCTCTCCATACACTAACATTGCTAGTGCCGCCAGCGAAACACGTCTACTCCAAGCCCCACATCCTGAACCCTACGATGACCTCTGCAGACTACCCACAGGCTCCATAGTAATTCCTTTTGGGGATTACCTTATAGGATCCTATAAATATAAACCACAAAAAGGAACTACCATGGAGCCTGTGGGTATACATTATATGATTCCTGCTAGACTTGGACATCGGTCCTTCACACGGTCTCTTTCGGCTGCGAGGTCGAGGACACGGCTGCGCAAGGAGTGCGTGGAAGCAAGATCCTGCTCATACCTCATGGGCCAAACGACGAGGTATGGGGTCCACTTAGGGTTTAGGGTTTAGGGCGTCGTGTCAAAGGTGTGGTTAAGGCGAGGAGTCGCAGGCCGGGAGCTGACACATGCTCTCCAGCACACTGCAGGGGACATTCACAGTCAACCGGCCCCTCGTGCAACACTTGCAGGCAGCATCAGTCCCTTTTTTTCTGTCGCTGTGCGCAGAGCTTGCTTGAATCGTGTCAAGGCAAGTATTGCACGATGAAGGCGGGGTATGCTTGCTCACGGTCATAAATTACAAACTCTTGATGAACTTGGACGGGATTGAACGGACGAGAATGACCTTTGATTGGTCCTGGATTGACCACAACCGAATCATAATCAATACCGTTTTGGGTGGGAGGCTTCCTTGCTCCAAACCGGGTTTCGGATGCATGATAAGCATCGCCGAGCGCCACCCGGGCGATGATTAATGTCCGCTCGCATCGGCAAGCAGAAGCCCTGCCGCACTTATACACGCATGAATATTGATGGCTTTTGCATGCGGAACCGGCAAAGTAAACTCCGTCTCCGTACATACCATTAGTACAGGTCCTGTGGTCGAATCCATGACGAACAATAGAGTCAGCATTGCTCCAGGAGGTGCCATGCAGCAATATCTTCTCGTCGACGTCGCATGCCAATGGCTCCCCGCAGTCCAAGTCGCGCTGGCTGTCAGTCATTACCCCCTCACGACCATCAAGATCAAGAGCCACAGGCTCCAATTTAAAATTGAGCCTGCGCTTTGCACGGTCTTCCCTCATGGTACGCAGCCTCGCTTGGTACCGTCGCCAAAGGTGGTAGTTTTCAATCCGATGGACAGATTTCACGGTTGCTTTCTTCATCCGTGAACATTCCCTTGAGGCATCCCACGCGTGGCCGGTGAACCGAAGAAGTCGCTTGATGACTTTGAGGAAAGCTGCATCTTCTACCTCGACATAGAAAGCACTCAGGTCGCCTGTCTGTGTCAACAACTCTGCCGGGGTGCTTTCCCACTGTAGAGGCACTCCGGTGGCGATGCGAATGCTTCGTCGCCTTCCTGTCGTTGCATGTCTCTGGGTCATCTCCTCGAAGTCCACGATACGCTCAACTCCCCCGGCAACAATGTGTGCCCAACGACCTTCCTGTGCATCATCGATGTATGCCAAGTATGCTTCATGCATCTGCTCGTTTCCCTCTGGTGAAAAGGGGTGCCACTGACCATCCGTCTCGTATTGCCAGCAGGCATCATGACCAGCAGAATGGCTCCGGGCCTGGCTGTCAAAGAACTTTCTCTCAGCAACAAGCCTCTGCTCTCGTTCTTCGTCGAGAGCAGAATGTAAGGCCTGAATCCTGGTCTCCTTAGTTCTTGGAAGTCGCAAGGCTGAAGGTTTGCTGAGTGAAATTCGACCAATTGAACGGCATCAACGATTGAGGATCCTACGTTAAGTACAAGCTGTCAGACATGTACGGGGTGTTTAAACTAACGAATACGAACAAATGCCATCACCAGAGCATCGTCGTTCACATTTTGAAGGCCAAGCTGCTGCATCTCTCAGCTTCTCCTTCGTGACCTCATGATTTGATTCGCAAGTTCTCGCTCGCGTTTGCTCCCTGGCCAGCTCTGCTTCAAGCCACGCATTGTCTCTGCTCATCCGATCCTGTACAGGAGCCACATCACGCATCGAAGTAAAGACATGCAGCCACACCCTCATTTTTTCGGCGCGCGACCCTAAACCCTGCAAGCCGTTCCCTCAAGTGGTCCTGAGTCTGCTGTTGGCTCTCGAGTCGCTCGAGTCGCTCGAGAGCTGATTGAAAAAAGAATGCAAGGTCCAGTGCTTTCCGATGTTCAGAGGCCGTGGCTTTGAGCTCGGTTTCCTTAGCTGCGCTCAGACGAACATCTGTGAAATCTCACACGACCGCCTCACTGAGAACATCAGGTGCGGAACAACCCGGTTCCCGGTTCGCTTGGCCGTTTGATCAGGCATGGAAAGGCTGCTTCTTGGAAAGTAACCGATTTCTCCTCGCGCGAGACAGGGCATATCGTAGTCGCAGTCTTGCATTAGTCCCTGTATCACGAACAAGGCCAAGTCGCGACACTTTGCAATCGCTTCTTTGCGTCCTGGTGCTGTTGCTTCCCATTTCTGCTTGCAAGCATACACCATGACAGGAGGAGAGGACGTCTCTGTTTGAATTCTGCTTCCGTCCAGTGCAGACAAAGGGGCTTGAAGTTTGGCATCCTTGGCTTTGCTCACAACGGGCGGCATCTGAACACAGGAAATCTTAGCAGCATCGTGCATGAAGGAATGGAGCATCTTCATTCTACGGTCTGCAATCAGCACGAGCCCTGATGACGGCATGGAAAGGAGGCACAATGTGTATCGCTGCCAAACACTGCAAGCCAAGTTGCAGCAGCTGTCCATCGTTTCTGCGTATCCTTGACCTTTGCTTCGGCGGCTTGGCGCTTCTCTTTCTCCACGGCCAGCTCACGGTCCCACGGCCGCTTTTCAGAGGCTGCGTCACAGCTCATCCTCACAGGGCCAACTGGAGGATGCAAAGACCAAGCCGCTGGAATCGGCAGCTGAACACTGCGGCACTGCACTTGCATGCTAAACTCGAGAAAACGGAGGCCTGCTTCGTGTGCCGGGCTGCGAACCTCCTCCGGTGCCGACATCGCAGGTTGGACCCACGACCGCGGAGGTGCTCCCTCTCACAAAAAGGGCGGTGCCTGTCCTGTCAACACCTCCTGCTTCCGGCTTTAAAGTAGTGTGCATGCCGGGGCTGCAGAGTCTACCTTTCATTCTAAAGTAATGCTAAAGCCGAAACCCCGCACTCCGCAACCCTATGTCAACACCCCTGTCCTAAGCCCTGGCTCGAGCAATGAGACCGTCCCGATCAGCTTGTATGCGCTCCAGGACTGAGTTGCCAAGCCTGGGCCTTCAACCCTACATCGAAATCCCGAACCCTAAACCCCCAAATTCCAAAGGGTCCTAGGTACTGTTATGGGGGATACTTTCCCAAAGCACAATAACAATTCCTAATATACAAACCCTACATTCTACTATATAGGTACTTCGGACCCTTTAAAACCATGAATCTCAACATCTTCGACTTGAATTTCGGGCCCAGGCTGAACGTAGGTCTCCGGGAGTCGTTGGGGGAGCAAAGCGCTTCTCAGTCTCTGGCACCTACGACTTCGAAACCTCTAGCAAGGGTTTAGGGGTTTAGGGGTTTAGGGTTTAGGGGTTTAGGGGTTTAGGGGTTTAGGGGTTTAGGGCTTTGGGTTTAGGATTTAGGGAACACTGGCGCCTAATTACATCTCAGACTGAGCACCCGAACTCCTCAGGTCCAAGCCAACCGGGTTTAGGGTTTAGGGGTTTGGGGTTTAGGGGTTTAGGGGTTTAGGGTCTAGGGTCTAGGGTTTAGGGTTTAGGGTTTAGGGAATGCTTGTACAGTTAAGCCGTCCTCGCTAGGAATTCCAAAAGCTCAGATGCCGTATTGCACGGAGGTGGTAGGTCCAGGGAGTCTAACATCATGGGGCTCAGCAGTTAAGACCCTAAGGCCCAAGCGCTGAGTCTTAAAGCCCTAAATCCTCAAACCTTCAAGCCCAAAACCTTTTGAGATAAGTGGCTGCTGGATCAATCCCTGCACACCCTCTTGGCGCAGGAGGAGCTCCTTCAGATCTTTCCAGCTCTTAGAGTCAGAAGCTTGTGTTCAGGACTGTCTAATATAGGGGCCTAAATAATTACCAATACTATTTCTGGGGATTCCTGATTATAGATATAGTGTATAACATACCCCAAACCCTATTCTAATTATTATAATTAAGGCCCCTATGTTAAATTAGGGCTTCAAGGTTGTAGGCTTTGTAGGGCCTCAGAAACCCTAAACCCTAAACCCTAAGGGTACACCTGCTCTTCGGGGAGCCTCGGCGCCCTTGGCATTCTCTTGTGACAGCGCTCGCAGCTGGCCGACGTAGTCCTTAACACCTTCAGTATGCGCAACAGTGTAGACGTGAAGTGTAAAGGCTTATATATATACATATATACATATCATACATGGGCAGAGATTTATATTTATATGTATAGATATGTATAATATGATATATATATATAAATAGTCGAAGGTATGTGCGCCCTTGGAAGCCGGTTTCGTGCGAAGCCCAAGCCCTGATTCTGCCTGGAAGGTCTTGGAGCAGATCTCTTTGCAGAACCTCATTGGCTTTGAGCTGCGCCAACTCCTCCTTGCGGCAGTACTTCATGGATCATGGGACGTAGTAGCCACGGCTATTCTTAGGGGGAGGATGTTTATAGAAGTAGATACCCCAATCAAGGTACCTTATAACCTTACTTACGTATGAAGTTCCTCCAAGTAGAGGGTTTAAGGGTTAGGGTTCAGGGTTGCGGGGTTAGGTGTTGGGGAAGGATCGATGGTCAAAACACTTATGAGCCTGACGTTCTACACTCAGAGCAATCCCTACGAAGGATATGCCTGGCTGGATGGATGCGGCTGCTCTACGGCGAGAACTCACTCCACAAAGGTCTCAGCAAGCTTCGCCCGACACCTGATGTACACGAAAAGACGAAAAGAGACAGGGGAACGACAAAACAAGCTTTTTATCACAATCGGTCGCCTGAACTGCATGCTCAAAAAGTCGGTACGACACGCAAAGCACAGACATGCGCCCTGTCTAGCGAGTCCTGCGTGATCAAGGTTTCATGTTCCGGTTGGACCCCAACCCCAAGACTTCGAGGGAACCCTTAAGGGAACCCTGTAGGGAACCCATGTCCTGGCTCAAGTGCGCGAGGCTCGGGAAAGAGGAGGGAAGCGAGGGAGCCGCCGGGCCCACCCTTGCAGGCCTTCGAGGGCTTGAGGCACTTCAGGGAGTCTTAGGGGTTCGGGCTTCTAAGGCCTTTTTTGGGGTTTCGGATTCGTGGCTCAGGCAATTTCGCGTCCCGGATTTGGGGATTAAGGCTCCGGGGGTCTTAAACCTCTGCGTGATGTCGAGCTCTTTACTTTCAGGGCAACCGGATCTCCAGGGTTGTTTGGAGCCTTCAGGGGTTGGTTCTCGAGGGGGAGCTTAGGGTTATGATCAGCGTCAGAGTCTCAAGACCCTAGACCCCATATTGTTACACTAGGTAGAGGCTGCAAGACCGCAAGAATGTTGTTGCACGCCAGGTACAAAACACATGCAAGCTTTACCCACGATACCCTAAGCAGGGAACAATGAAACCCCTGGGCTTGGACCCCACACACACACACACACACGCCACCGACTGATTCAAGCCCATCCCTTCCCTTGCACGTATCACTGGGTCGAAGGAGAAGTGCGATTTCCATCCTTCTGCACGCTTCAGACACTAAACGTGGGAAAGTGGCCCAAAAAGCCCAGACTATTCCCACGACGGAAGCTGCCTCCTGCTGCTCCCCCTCATCATGAAGATCATTCCTCATCCTCATCCTCATCATCCTCATCATCCTCATCATCCTCATCATCATCATCACCCTCATCATCATCATCATCATCATCACCCTCATCATCATCAGCATCACCGTCAAGATCAGTGCTAGCATCAGCTACGGCACCCATTGCCAACACCATCAGCGGAAGCATCATCACGAACTTCTCTTGGAGATGTTGCATCGCTCGTCTTCTGAATCTTCTGCATCTCAGTTGCCGTCCTCAAGTATGTGAGTATGATAATCACCCACCCCCATGACTCTTGCACTCTCGCAATCTAGCACTCTTGCCAATTACACTCTGCTAAACATCAGCTTATGCTCTAATTTCCACATCAGAAACAAGCACCTGAATCCCCACAAACTCTTTCTCACCTGGCTGCCTGTCCGGTTCCAACGGTGCGGCTTCAGCAACTGGTGGCTCGACGACCAAAATCAAGGCGCTGTAGCACTTCCCCTGTCGCAAGCGGAAGCTCTTCCAGTGCTTTACCCATAGGCTGCATAGTAGTTCCTTTTTTGTGGTTCATATTTGGGATCCTATAAGGTAATCCCAAAAGGAACTACTATGGAGCCTATGGGTAGGTGCTTGAAGCATAGAACAAGCAACCCTACTCCCTATTCACCATCGCTGAGAGGTCCTCACGAGTCAAGCTTCGAGCAGGGAAGGGGGGAACGGGGGAGTGCATCAGGACATCTTCACACAACTTCAACGCTTTGCACTACGTCTCCACCCGAACCCGAACCACTTCGTACAATAAAAATCAAAACCTGCGGTCCCCATACCCTCTGAACTGCTTTTCACAAAAACCAACTGAACCCCAAATCCTGAACCCTATAGGCCCTGAACCCTCAACCCCGGAACACTAAGCTCCAACCTGGTTGTGGGACCAGAAATGGTTCATCTTGCCATCAGACACGTTGATCTTCCCAGGCTCCTTTTGAATGAGTCAGGGTACTGTGGTACGCTTGTTTTGTGGCAGGGGTTCAAGATTTAGCTTTTCGCGCTTGGGGGTTTTCCCCAGTCTTGCTTCGGAAAGTCGCTTTTCTTCAGCTTGTCATTTGCTTTAGTGTCATTGTTGTGGAAATAAACCTGGAAATGACTGCTATGATTTCAGCCGGGGATTTCGGACACATTTAATGTACATTGGAATTTTCTGCAGAAAGCCGACAGCGAAGAGAGGCGAACTAAAACGAAGCACCCCGAGCCCCCCAACAGCATCCAACAGCACCGTGCTTGCAGGTTGACCCAGAGCTTGATGCACAATGATGCAGGGTTCAGGGGGTCTATACAGCTCTTTTCTTCTACAGCCTCAGCCCTGCAAGCAGCCCCTTAAGGATTCAGAGCTCTTTCGTCCAAGAGCCTCAACCCAAATGCTGCCCTAAAGCCCACAAAAGCCCACTCCGAGGGGCCAAGCTCGAGTGCCCCACAAAGACGAGGCCGTCAGTTGGCGTCCGGCCGCCCGCCACAGCATGTGCAGGAATGGGGTCACCCTTGTTCCTGACTTGGTCATGGTGTCTCCGACTCAGGAGCTGACAACGGATCTGCTTGTCCGTATATGGCATTCCAGTATATGGCATTCCAGTGTATAGTCGAGTATGTGGTATATAACTTGGACTTGAATGTGTTTGGTAAAAAAGGTATTAGTTTCATGGCGAGAGCATCTACTAAACGGGGTCTGTGGACCCCTAGACTTGGCACCTTTGGCATAGGCTCTGGTATCATCAGCTTCGTAACATAGACTTAAAACCCTAGGCCCTAAACCCTAGACCCTAAACCCTAAACCGCAGTTACAGCTGAAGGTCCCCTTGGCTTTTTTCACTGGGAGCTTCCGGCGGGTACAGGCAAAGGCCCTGGGGTCTCCAAACCTTTGTTTCCCTCTGCCGACCCGCATGTCTCCACGAAACTCGGAGAACCAAGGCACTGAGGTCTTCACGGACAGAACCTCCTAGTATGATAGTGTACTATAGTATATTATAGTGTAGTATGGGTAGGTTGTTAGTAGTTGAGTACAGTACAGTGCATATTGTGGTAGACTCAAGCAGGGGAGATTCGCATTCCTTCCCTGTTTCAATGCGTCTAGAGCCTAATCTTTCGAGATTTCAGGAACGACTGTGAAGATCAGGGTGCAGGGCTCACGGTTCTGACACCAACGGACCAGTAACTTGCCAGTAACTCATTGGAAAACAAGCCCCTACACCCTCTGAGCAGAGCAGAAAGACACAACACAACGACGAACCCCGAAACAAAACACAAACCCACACACATGCACGCAAAACCCAGTGTACTCGCAACAAAAGTTTAGCTTGCCATACAAACACAGGGACACAACATGTGTCAAAACAAAAACCATCCAACAAAGACAAACGAAGTACACAGAAAAAACATGTTGCTTCATACTGGTTTTTGAGAAGGCAAACTTATACTCCTGTTGCGAACTCACTGGATCCGGTATCCTCTTCGTACACGTGGAATTTCCGTTTCTGTAGGCAGTCGCATGTTTGTTGCTTAACTATATCCTTGAGTTGGCATTGATCTTCAATTTATGTTTTCTTTGCTTATTTTGTTCAAACGCACCGTAGATTCCCAATAGGCTGCTGTGCTTATGCTTCGGGTTCGGTACATGCATGCACATACGTTTCTACTCACATGCATGTTGTTGTTGTTGTTGTCGTCGCATGCTTTTCAATGCCATTTAAATGTTCGTAAATACTGTATTCCACCCACATAATATGTTCCAATATACATAGACAGAGAGAGAGGGAGAGAGAGAGAGAGAGACACACACACACACTGACTGAGAAACACAGAGAGGTAGTCAATGACGTGTATGGAAGTGTAGAAGTTCTATGTGCGAGAAATACATGTTTCTCGTCAGCGCTTGAATCAAAGACTTGTCAAAGACACTTCCGAAGCTAGGCCTACCAAACTGGGTGTGGCAAGAAGGCTCATTTCCACCAGCTCCTGAACAGTCTGCTGCAAACGTCACCAGAAGGTCCCTACATCCGTACGTTGCCAAAAGTCAGTGCGACCCATTTGTAGACTGCCGAGCAAGTCAGGATCTCCGCGTCGTAGGAATGAGATTGGTGGTGGGCACGGAAATTCCACATCTTCCCATCCTTTCGCCGGGTTGCGGCGAAAATCCGGAATACCAGACCCTATGTGCCGGACTACGGTGGGCTGCTAATCAGCGGGGTTGACTGCAGAAAACAGGGCCCAACAAGGACTACACAAGCAGTGCATTTAATCACTGCATGCGTTTAACGTGCGATGCTGTCAATGACGTTGTCGTGCATCCCCATCGTCATCATTGTCCTCAACATCGTCGAAACAATCATCATCACCACCACCACCACCACCACCATCACCATCATCATTATCTCAAGAGAAATGAGGAACAGCATCTTCCGGTGGCATGCACCAAAATCAGGGACCCCGCATGAATCTGTGCACCAGAAATTTGAATAAACATCTCCCTGGCCCTGTGCTGCGACACGCATCGTCATGGAATCTCACGAAAAACCCTGTAACATCTCGTTGAGACACACCCAGGTATAACATGTTTACATATACACGCATACATACAAATATGAATTTCCATATATGTATATGATAAAGGCCTGTGAAGTTATGGAACACCAAAATCGCACAAGAGTATGTATGCCAACTAGAGCTTGCCAGGATCTCAGAGTCGCCCTAGAAGCTATTAGTAGTAGTACTAGTAGTAGTACTAGTAGTAGTACTAGTAGTAGTAGTAGTAGTAGTAGTACTACTAGTAGTAGCAGTAGTAGTAGTAGTAGTAGCAGCAGCAGCAGTAGCAGCAGCAGCAGCTAGGAAGTGTCTAAGTCTGCTTCCGACATGGCCTTGAGGTTGATTTTGCCCACCTCGCCATTCAGACGGCCCACCTTGTGCTTGCGAATGCTGGATGAGTCAGGTGCTCCAGAGTTGTAAAGCGAAGGTTTAAATGGCACGTGACGGCCTTTCAGGCTTTCAAACCCTTTCGGTGGCGACTGAGCTTTAAGGCCTCCAGATGTTGTGAAGGCCAGCCAGGTAAGGCTTTCGGCGCTGAAGGTTGATAACCGGTGCCTGTTGATGCTTTCAGCGGCCCTGCGCACATCTTCTGGAGTTGGGGAGGCAGATTCAGTCTGAGCCGGTCGTGGAATTCAATCAAGCCGCCGAGTTCGGGTTGCTCCGGGTTCATCCCGAGATCCAGAGAAGCAACAACTAAGATGGGCGTGGCTCACGAGTTTGAACGGAATTTTGTCATACGTATAGCATAATCTCAGGATTTTATGGGGCAATGAGTCTATTCTCTTAGATTAAAGCTTAAGGAGTTAGGGGTCGAGGAGTTTCGGGGTTTAGGGGTTCCGGGTT